CAGAATCAGCCCTTAAGGCATTCGGATCCGGCTTATCCTATCTATGATTCCATTTTTATTTTTATCCTTTCTTTAAATAGAAGAGTTTTAAGGCACCAAATGCAAATGGGCAAATGGAGGAAAGCTTTTACTAATAAGAAGCCATAGGAATTTACATAAGGACCCAAGTGCAATTTACTTACATTACGTACATTTTCATCAAGAATCAATGACAATGACTCAGATAGAAATTTTACACAATCTGCATTTATATGTGTGTGTCCCATTTGCATATTTCAATTGATAATATTCAAAATAAATTAAGAGTATCAAGACTCCCTATTCATCTTTTACTAATGCAAAATACATTAAATATCACAATTTTATGTGTCATCATAATGAGATAATACCTTCATCCTATTGCAAATACTTGGGAAAACAATTTCTTACTTTAATTATTATATCTAATTTCTTGAGATTCCCAAACATATATTGAATTTGTTCTTCTACATTTCACCATCTCTGATGCCAGTACCCCACTCCAGGCTAATGCTCTCACTTCAGCCACAGAATCAGCCTTCCATTTAGGGGTGTGCTGGTAAATAGCTAAGGGTAACTCCTTGGAAAAAGGGGGCAGCCCAAACTTGCATTTGCCAATCCCCCAAGTCAGAATTTGGAAGAATGGCTAACAATTTGTCTCTCCCGTGCCAGCTTCATGGCATACTATTTCCAATACACCCAATTATTCTCTACAGCAAACAGAAGAAAGTTTTAAAAAGGCAATTCTTATCATGTCACATGAACCCTGCTTAAGAACACGTTTCTGGCTTCCTTTGTTTTTATACTTAGTTAAGCAATATTCTTCAGATCTTCACTCAAGAGTCACCTGCTTAGCAAAGCCAGCCCTGAGTTACTTGGCTATTTTAAAACCTTATGATAAACCGTTTTACAAAAAGACATACTTCTTTATTTTGGCCACTGCCACAGCTACAATTTTGCATTTCTTGTTGCAATGATTTGATTAATGTCTGCCTCCCTGTCCACACTCTTAAGTTTCACCAGGGGCAGCACGTGCTTTTCAAAATAAAGTACACAGCCATAAGCACAGTGCCAAGAACAAAGTGAGCACTAAAGAATTATCCATTTTGACAGATTACATTAATGAATAAGTGTCTGCCTGCAAGCATAAATAAATATGTTACTCAGCAATTTATAAAGGAAAGTTGGAAATTCGTTAATAATATGATTCCTTGATGTGTTTCTAATATAACTACAATTTGTATAACAACTTTATAGATGATATTAAAGAATATTTAACTTTCACAAATTTAGCATACATTATTCATTCAGAAAATCTAAAGAAAAAAGAGCTGATGAAATTTTAAATCTCTGTGTTTCTAAGTACCGTATAAGAATAAATAAATAAAAAGGTATATTCAGTGATTCTTTAAAATAAATTTTTTGTACTAAAGGATGGTATCTGTGCCCTTTCAAAAGCAGCTTAATGAATATTCTTCATGTCAACAAAATGAAGCACTACAGGGAGGCCTTGAAATTCAGAGCGAATGCCAACATGTTTAGCAAATGCTTCATTTCTACACACTGATACAATAAACATCTTATTAATTTTATATTTTCTTATATAAGAATATGATTAAAATATGGATGTGGACAAAAATGATAGAATCATATCTCTTTTGCTTCTATATTCCTAATTTTAAAACAGCCATAAAAATCCCTTTATTTAAGACACTGAGCCATGGTATCATACAGAATATTTGCATCTTAACTAATAAAGCACAAAATAAAATGAATCACGTAAATTCATCCTCTTCAGATTTTGAATTTTATGTATATTTCATGAAGTACTTACTTGTGCATAACTGACTTGAGAACTGTATGGTTTTGAATAGCATGCTGAGTGTGGCTGGATACTTGAGCATACTTTTATTACTATGACTTTGTAAATTCATAAAGCTTTCCATTCAAAGCTGTAACTGCAACATTGTATATTTAAGATAAAGTATTTGAAAATTAATATTTTTGATTACATAGATTTTTCTATTGTCTAACAAATTTATCATTTCCCAGGAGAAGCACCTGGCTCCTGGCTTCGGATCAGCGCGGTGCACTGACCGCAGCGCACCAGCCGCGGCGGCCATTGGAGGGTGAACCAACGGCAAAGGAAGACCTTTTTCTCTGTCTCTCTCTCTCTCTCTCTCTCTCTCTCTCACTATCTACTCTGCCTGTCAAAAAACAAATAAATAAATAAAAATAAAAACACAAATTTATCATTTCCATGTCTTTCTGGACTAACAGACTAGATTGAAAAGAAAAAAATCCACACCTCTGTTTAAAAAAAAAAAAGAATTTAGATGAACTTTAAATATATCAGTAAGAGAGAAACTCTGGCTCTCTTCCACTGTAATGCACAAAAGCTTTCCTTTAAAGTTTCATTAGTTTCTTTCCATTACTTGCTATACTGAAAATATTATGCCACCTTCCCTAATGAGAATTTTTAATTCCAACTTTCATATATTAGAGAGTAAAAATAAATAAATGCATGATAATATTTACTTTAACCATCAATATTAAAATATTTATCAACAGAATACAAATAAAAATTTGTGGGGCAAAATTTCACCAGGGGCAGCATGTGCGTTTCAACATAAAATCCTCAGCCATAAGCATAGTGCTTATGTGGTACAGAAGGTTAAGACAGCACTTACGACATCAACACTGGCATCCCATATCTGAGCACTTGCTCAAGTCCCAGACGCTCCCTGCTAACGTGCCTGAGAAAGCAGCAAATTATGGCTCAAGTATTTTGACCCCTACCACTCACAAGGGAGAACAACAGAGAGTTCCTGCCTCTTGGCTTTGGCCTGTTTCAGCCCAGGTCTTTGCAGCTCTTTAGGGGGAGAACCAGCAGCTGGAAATTTCTATCTCTTTCTCTCTGTGTCTCTCCCTCTCTGTCACTCTACCTTTCTAATAAATAAATAAATCTTCTTTTTAAATTGGTTGTTTATTACAAATACTTCAGTCGTAAAAGGATTCTTTCCTTCTAAAATGATATAATTTTGTATTACCAGAATGGTATAATTAAGGTCAATATTTTGGCTTTATTTCATAAGCTTATATTGACATATGAAGAGACTTCAAAAATTCTCAGAAAAAGGAATTAAGAGAAAAGATTATTTCAGTGCATTTTTTGAAGTCCATGCATATTTTTCCCACTGCAAATTACCCATGAATTTTCGGGAGAACACTTACATTAAAAAAAAAAAAAACTGACTCAACTTGACACCTCATATGTTTAACCCAAATCTGCATGTCACCCTGGACAAATATATGTTGCCTTTATATTGTCATTTACCTTTTAGCTTCTTGTTTTCTCAGTTAGATTAGTTAGATTAGTTCTCAGTTAGATTACAATATGAGCTCTCTGTTTCAAAGACTCAGTGGCAGAAAGCTCAGATAAAATGTCCACAATTCACACCTAATACATAGCAAAACTAAGATGTCTAACCAAGGTTTCTTGGACTAAAATAAATAACTACAAAATATATATGAATTAATGAAATCATCGGGGGAGAATATTTAAATGAGAGTGGTGATTCCAAGAATACAGAGGAGTCTCAGACTGTTGAAAGGGCAATAATAATAGGAAGGATAGCCAGTTAACAAACACTGTCAGCTTTAATATATAAATCAGAATAAGAATATCTGCCTATGAGATAGTTGAAGCCTGCAAAAAAGACATATAAGTAACTATTCACCTAAGTTCTAAAGATCACTGAAAAATATTCAAAAGAATTTAAAAGCCTAATAAAAATAAAAAATAAACAAAGTAAAAATACATATAGGTAATGTATAAACTCACAAAAGTATTACAGAAAAACACATTTGATCTAATAAAATTCACTTGGCAAATACAAGAGATAACTTTCCTCCTATTAGACAAAAGTAGCTTTTAGAACCTAAAAATTGGACTCTGTTAAGAGCAGCTACATTATTTTCACTTTTAGATTGCATTAAAATTGAATTCCAAGCATTACTTCCTGAATTGGTTAGTATCTTTCCTCTATAATGAGAACATTAATTCCATATAACTTCATGCAATCAAATAGACATGTTATATATATATGTATATATATACATACACACATATATATATCACTCTATTTGCATTCACATTATAGAATGTAACATTAAAGGATTTTAGAAAAAGCATCAAACATGATCACATTCCAGGAAACTCTGGCTTTTGGAGCTTATTATGCAGTAGAAAGACATGCAAAGGGAAAAATATATACTACAGCACAGCACAAAGGAGAAACCAGTAGCTCTTTCAAGGATTGTTCCACATGGTACACGTGGTGCTCAGCCAACAACCTCTAGCAGTACTTATACACAGGACCATGGGATCACACGACATGTTAGTTTCCCTGAAAATTGATAGCAGGCTTTTCTTTTTCATTTATTTAATGTATAAATAAAAATAACCCTCATGTATTCAATGATTCAAGCTCATATATATTATATTTGTTTCTATTGATTTAATTTTCTTTGACTATTATAAGAATTTACTTAATACAAGTATAAGTATAAATTTATACAAGTATAAATTTAAATGAAAGCTTGAACTGAATAAATGGCAAAATAAACACTATAATTTTAAATCCTGTAAAGTTTAAATTTGTGATAATTTATTAAAAAGTTTAAAATACCTTGTATTCCCTATAAAAATACAAACAAACTTTAGGCTAAGAAATTTACATTGAAAAATGATTCTACTTGAGACCATTGAAGCCAACAACTATGAAATAAGTAATCCAAGAATAGTGCATCCGAAATCACAGCTTTAAAGAAGTAGTTATGTGCCTACTTACCTGTTTCCCTAAGAGAAGCCAACAAATGAAAACTAAATGACATATGGTTCAAACAAAGTTAGAAAACACAGATATTCACTGAGAAAATACAGGATGGATTGATTTCAACAAAAAAGTAAGTGAACTTACGGTTTGCAAGGCTCTGGAAGTTTTGAATCTTCTCTCTTCCTTATTTCTAATGTTGGCTCCTTAGGAGTGAGAACTACAGCGGCACACGAGACTACAGAATGGTATGAATCCTCCCGGCAAACTGTTTTTTCAAAAAATTAATTGTAAATGTCAAAATTATTTATCAACTATTCTCACTTATCCTTATTTATTTTCCTATTTGTGGTCAAATGATGTAGATAATTAAAACATTAATTATCATTAAATTATCTTTTATTATCCTTTTCTACACAAAATCTTCCCACAACAAGAGGTTTGACCTTGGGAAATTTTTCTTTTTTAAGCCCACAGTGAAAAAGATGTTGTCAACAATTTATATTCCCAAAAAAGTGTTCAGTCATGCATGTATTGCTACATGAATCTTCACAACATGAGCACACTTGTTTAATCAGTCTCGAGAATAAGCTTAGCATTCCCAGCATCCTGAAAACACTGTGGTAGCCCTTCCTCATGGCAGCCTCAAAGTTCTACCTTTATTACCACATATATTACATAATATCCATTTATTTTTGACCTTTATACAAATGGGGTCATGTTCTATTGCAATATATTCTTTTATGGGTTATTTATTTAATTCAATATACACTTGTAAGACACAGCAGTAGACTCTTCATTCTTATCCATATATAGTTGTAGTTGGTTCCTTCTGTACAGCTTTCCATTGGATGACCATACCACAATTATATATTTTATTGCTAATGGAATGTTTTTCCCCCCAGGGTGGGGGTATTTCAAATGTCTGTAAATATTCTTGTGCTTTTCTGATAGGTGTGCAAATCAATTTATATTGGAAAAAAACATAAAATCAATCTATATGGTTATTCCAGGGTTATCTTCCTATATTTTATGTTCAGCTTCAGTAAATACTAGTAAACCATTTTCTGATCTAATTGCACTAATTTTCTTTATTAAACGAGAAAGTTATTCCACGTTCATGCTAAAATTTCATTTAGAGTTTTTCTTATTGAAATTTTAATATTGTATTAATCTTATATTGTAGCATAACAAATTCACAAAAATTTAGTAGTCCAAAACACCAACTGATTATCTCACAGATCTCTAGGTAGGAAATCAAGGTAGGCTCAGTTGATTTCTCTGATTAGGGTTAACCAGGCAAAGCTTATCTAGAGCTGTGGTAAGAATGTACCTCCAAGGTCATTCAGATGACCAGCAGAATATGCCTCCTTATGGTACTAAGACTCCTGTGCCTTGCTAGATGTTGCTAGGGACCTCAGTGAGCTCCTAGTGGCTACTCATAGGTCAGCGACTAATGATCCACACATCTCAGCAACTGAAAACATCCCTCACGTAGAATCCTAACATGCATCAAATCTCTGGTTTCTTCTTCTGTTTTCAGCCAGAAAACAAAACAAAACAAAACAAACAACTTTTCCTTTTAAAAGGCTTATGTGATTAAAGTGATGAAGGACTTAATCTGCAAATTCCCTTTTGCCAACTGATGTAACATACACCCAGTATTATGTCCTATTATCTTCCAATAGAAAAAATGAGACAAGGGCTAGACTTACGTGTCATCATAGAATTCTGCTTACCACAGCTATTCTTTTAAGGGTATAGCAGTACTGTCTTGTAGCATTACTTTATATATTCCTGATAAATAATAAAATTGAATATGTATATTCATATATATGGAATTGAAGAAATATATATATTCAAAACCCATTTATCTTCTCACAATTAGAATCTGAGATTTAAAATAGGTGGACACTAAAAGCAGAGCTGAATTTAAAACAATTTTCTGGAACTCAAGAGATAAAAATTGGTGTCCAATACGTCTCAAAGTAGAGAGACCATGATTTCCTCATTGTCTCTCCGCTGCCTTTCAGAAAACTGTTTCATTTTAAATTTAATTTTCTCTATTCTTGGCATGAGATTTGTGTCTACAATAAACAATTTACTGTAGTTTGGGAAGAAAACTCTATTATATTTTACATTTCAATTGTTACCTTAAATTCTATAAGTGAAGAAATAAAATAAGAACATTGTGGACTTACTTCTCTGGAATAACATTCATTTATTCATCATTTACTGAGCTACTGGTATGTTCCAGGAAACATACTTTATTGTAGCCCTCTACAATGGGCATGAAAAATGTATGAAATGAAACTTTGATTTCTTCTTCAAGATACTTCTTATGTATGAGAGTACTTCAAAAACTTCACAAAAATTGAATTAATGAGTTCATTTTGGTGCAAAAAACTTGAAATCTGTGCATAGTTTTTTTTTTCAAAATATGCATATTACATGGACTTTTTTGATGTGCCCTCATAGAGAGCAATAAACCAGGTTAACCGAAAGCACTTCTTTGAAGGAAAATGGAGCTAAGTTATTCCAAAACAAGAAAAACTGAACTCAACAGGGAATAATATTGTTTACAAGAAGAAAATTGAAGATTAGGGAGCAGTTGATTATATAAGGTACTTTGACTATTACTACTGAATTTGGATGATCTGTAGACCGGGAAGAAAACCCCGGCTCCTGGCCTCAGATCGGCCCAGCTCTAGCCATTTTGGTCATTTGGAGAGAGAACTAGCAGATGGAGGACATTTCTCTCTATCTCTCCCTCTCTCTGTAACTACATATCAAATAAAAATTCTTAAAATAAACAAACAAAAAAACACACTACCAAAAATATTAATGAACAAGTAAGCGAATGCAAGAACCAGAACTTTCACTTGTTCAACATGAAAGAGACAATTGTCTAAAGATGGGTAACTGGGAGTGCCACATAAATGACTGAGCTCTGATACTTACTGTTTTACTATCTTTAAGTGACATTTATCATAAGACACATCATTAGTGGAATAAATACTAGTAAGGCAAGTAAGTAATGGAGAAATTATAAACTTAAAAAACAGAAATGGAGTAATAAAAGTAATACAGAAAGTTTTCAATAAAAAAAAATTTGCGTAGGCTTTCTTTCACTCTAAGACCAAAAGCATAAAAGAAGAAAAAGAAACCTTAGTAGTATGCCATTGAGAAAAGACAGCATTTGTAAAGGTCGAAAGAATAATGGGTGTTTATGTGATCACCATATTTTGACACAAGTTAATTTTCAAAATCGATACTGAAAAACTGAAAATGTAAATCAGAACCTTATACTAAAATGGCCATGTTGAGTACTACTCTGCACAGCAACTTGGTTGGCATGTAAGTAATTGTATATCATTTTTATTTCATCAACCCATAAATGTATAAATTAATTTGGTTAATGATATAAACAATACAAACTAAAGGACAAAACATTGTATTTGTCATGAAAGTTACACACTAAGCGAAAAGTTCCTTTAAATAAGACCAACAAAGTCAGGGAAATGATTTAAACATGCGGCTTTTAAAAGAGGGATCATGGGCCAGCACCATGGCTCACTAGGCTAATTCTCTGCCTGTGGTGCCAGCATCCAGGGTTCTAGTCCCTGTCAAGGCACCGGATCCTGTCCAGGTTGCTCCTCTTTCAGTCCAGCTCTCTGCTGTGACCCGGGAAGGCTGTGGAGGATGGCCCAAGTGCTTGGGCCCTGCACCCACATGGGAGACCTGGAGAAAGCACCTGGCTCCTGGCTTTGGATTGGCGCAGCACCGGCTGTAGCAGCCACTTGGGGGATGAACCAACAGAAGGAAGACCTTTCTCTCTCTCTTTCTCTCTCTCTCACTGTTTATAACTCTCTCTCTGTCTCTCTATCTCACTGTCTAACTCTGCCTGGCAAAAAAAAAAAAAAAAAAAAAAATCATGACAGATGGATAAACCAATAGGACAGAACAGAAAACACCCAAAATCAATCCAAGCATCTACAACAAACTTATCTTTGACATAGGAGCTAAAACCTATCCCTTGAGCAAGGACAGTCTCTTCAATAAATGGTGCTGTGAAAATAGGATTGGCACATGCAGAAATATAAAGCAAGAACCATACCTTACACCTTAAAGAAAAAACACTCAAAATGAATTAAAGATCTAAAAAATATGAAACAATATCATCAAATTATTAGAGAACATTGGGGAAAACCGGCAAACATTGGCACAGGCAATCAAAGCCACAATTAACAAATGGGATTACATCAAATTGAGAAGCTTTTGTACTGCAAAAGAAACACTCAGGAAAGTGAAGAGGCAACCAACAAAATGGGAGAAATTATTTGCAAATTATACAACTGATAAAGGATTAATAACCAGAATGTATAGAGATCAAGAAACTCTACAACAACAAAACAATCCAGTAAAGAAATGGACAAAGGACTTAAACAGACATTTTTCAAAAGAGGAAATCCAAATGGCCAACAGACACGTGAAAAAAATGTTCAGGATCAATAGACGTCAGAGAAATGCAAATAAAACCTACAATGAGGTTTCACCTCACACCAGTTAGAGTGGCTTTCATACAGAAATCAACAAACATCAAATGCTGGAGAGGATGTGGGGGAAAAGGCACCCTAATCCACTGTTAGTGGGAATGTAAACTGGTAAAGCCACTGTGGCAATATGGCAATATCACAGAAATCTGCATATAGAGCTACCATATGACCTAGCCATTGCACACCTGAGAATTTACCCAAGGGAATGGAAATCAGCATATGAAAGAGTTATCTGTATTTCCATGTTTATTGCAGCTCACTTCACAATAGCTAAGACATGGAATCAAAACAAATGCCCATCAACTAAAGACTGGGTAAAGAAATTATGAAATATGTACACCATAGAATACTACACAGTGGTAAAAAAATATGAAATCTGGTCATTTGTAACAAAATGGATGAATTTGGAAAACATAAGCCCATCCCAAAGGGACAAATATATGTTCTCCCTGAGCTGAGCTAACTAACAGAGCACCTAAAAGGAAATCTGTAAAGCGAAATTGACAGGTTGTGAAGCAATGACTTGAACAGCCTTTGTCTTGAGTGTTGAGGAAGTTTTTTTTTTTTTTAATCATACTATTTGTTGAATTCTTAACACAGAGTTAATCATATGTGTATAAAGTTAATTGAAAATAGATCTTAGTAAAAAATAAGAGTGGGAATAAGAAAGGGAGGAAGAAGAGGGGCAGGAGTGTGGTTGGGAGGGCCAGCA